AGAAAGAGTATATATATATATATATATATATATATATATATATATATATATATATATATATATATATATATATATATATATATATATATATATATATACAGTTTTTCGTTTTACCTCAAAAAACCACAACAGTCTGTTTCATCCGTATATGATTCCTATACGGATGAAACAGACTGTTGTGGTTTTTTGAGGTAAAACGAAAAACTATATTACGTTCTATCTATATGGTATTGAGCACTGTTTGTATATATATATATATATATATATATATATATATATATATATATATATATATATATATATCTGTGTGTGTGTGTGTGTGTGTGTGTGTAATGATCGCTTGTGTCGGACCCGCAGTAACTGCCTATTCCCTGTTGCGCTCACCCAGCCGTGGTTATGTACTGTACGTACTGTATGTCGTTGAGAGAAAGATATAGAGAAATACCAAGATCTTAAATTAAAATAGAATTTTAAAATAGAATTGAAACGTAAAGAAGTTTCAATTGCAGCCATACTTATTGGAACACTTCGAACGATACGTCACAATTTTGATACGTGGGTAGGGAAGCTATAGGAGACGCCAATAAGGTAGTTTCAAATACTTCAGAAAGGTTGTCTATTTAGAACTGCAAAAATCTTGTTGAAGTTGTTGAAAGGGCCCACAGTAATTGGTTTTAACTGTTGTTGTATCCCCGGCACTCGTCACTTGTCTAATATTGCATGTGTGTTGTATGCATGTAATTTGGTGTAATTTTACCTGGCGAAGTTGAATAGAAAATAATTTTATAAAAAATTTAAAATTATCAGGTTTGAAGGTGTTTTAGGCTTCCACAGTGTCGCAGTTTTTAGGCGTCCCGATGTGATTTTCAAAGCAATGACACTCGGCCTGGCCGTTCCATATTGTGTTTTTGTTCATATATACGAACGATAATAATCGGCAACAATCTTCATTTTGACACGCGTTTCACGTCCACCTATTATCAGGAACTTTCCGGTCTAACAGTATATAATCGCTGCGTGGTCCCTACTAACACGGACTTGAGAACTACTGCTTGGATACTTCACAAAATCAGAATAGCAGCAGGGTTCCATGTAGTTCAGGGATGCTCCGGATACAGTGCATGGGTTGCAAATGTTCCTGGTAGAGTTTCGAGAGGAGGGTTACATTTTCATGTCACGCAGTCAAGAAATATGATTGGTTAGGAGGTTAGGGTGTGGGATAGGGATTGGATTAGGTTTTGTGACTGCGTGACATGAAAAACCCAGAATTTGAGATAAAATTGACATATCAACTCTAGCTATTTTAGGCCTGGTCGCAAAATTTTTAAAACGGGTGTAAATGTTGAAGCGGTATTTACAAATGAAGAAAATTTGAACAAAACAAGAAAGTAGAAAATTATGTAATTAAATTGAAAATACGTTAAGTACACCTTAAAACTTCGATTTAGTGCATTGAGCTTCCAATTTGTCTTATATTTGAATCATACTGACAAATTTTGACATTTTTGACAACTGTAATTATAATAATGTGAGAGTAAGAGAATAATAAAACAAATGTTAAGATTCAACCACGGCGGTTAATAACATATCAGTTATTTCTTGCAACAGAACAGAATTCCCTTGAAGGAATGACTACTTGTGGTCATTCCCCACTTGGGCTTAGATCCCAATTGAGAGTGATAAGTGCATGGTTTGTGCGGAGCTTTACCTAAGAAAAGAATAAACGACTTTGAGTACGTACAGTATTAACAGAGTGTCAGGGTTTGCTCAGCTAGTTTAGAGTTGCCATTAATCTGCCACAGAAAATTTTCCCTACAGCTTTTAGCAACCGTAGGAAGTAAAAGTGACGTAATTTGCAAAGGATTTGAGGAAATATATAAGTTTTATTTCTTGTAACGTTTTACATTGAAGGTGTACAACAACTACACCGGTTAAAATGTTATATATTCTCGATACACGCTTCCGGCAAATACTTCTCCTTGGGCGATAAAGCTTTATATTTGTGATTGAAATGTTAGGCTTCACCTAATGACACATACACGACAAAATTAAAAGGCTCCATAGCCAAAGTGACATACTTTCCGGAAAGGTTTATTGACAAATTGTAACAAGCCTGTTATTTTATAGTATTAGCAAGGTTTTATACAACATGGTAGCATTAACACAACAATTGATTATGATTTATGAAGTAACTTGTCATGTTGTTAGTGCACTAGTTCTAAAATAGTTTTGTCTTACCAATTTGTAACCATTCGTTGTAGCTGTCCTTCACAGGACTTTGATTGGGTTTTATGCAACATGCTCGCATTAACAAAACAATTGATTTTGATTTATGAAGGAACTTGTAATGTTGTTAGTGCATTAGCTCAAGAATAGATTCGTCTTACCAATTTTCAACCATTCGTTGTAGCTGTCCCCTACAGGTACCCAGTGATCTCCTGAAAAAAGTCCGTTGTAAGGGGTTTTGTTATCCTTACATATCGTTTTCGAGGTGCAAAGCCCTTTGCCGTCAGCTTGACATTTTGCTAAGCCTTGTTGTTAGGAGATTCTATTCGAAGCTGTCTTTATGGTAATGCCATCTTCTAGTGGAAAGAAAAGTTTTAAGGTCATTTTAGAACAAGCAATTTTTGCTGCAACTTTCAACGCTATTTCTAACAGACAGCAAATTATTTATAAAAGGAGGCCTTTTTTCCAAACAAAATCAGTTAATAACCTTTGGAACAAACCGTTTCATTTTTCAATCCCTGTACGAATCTCACGACAAGTCTTACCTTTCCTCTTTATTTTGCAGCAGTATAAATTTCCTTTGAAATTGTGGACACTATTTTTCAATCCCCATGAAGATTTGGAACCCAGTGTACTGTGAAGAATGCATGGGCGGTGTGGAGAATTTCTTAAAAGTGCATGTAAAAACAGTTTAGAGTTAATTGCCATTTATCTGCCACATAATTTTTTTCCTACATATTTTAGCAACCATGGGAAGTAAAAATGACGTAATTAACAAAGGATTTGAGGACATATATTACTTTAAATTTTTGCTACGTTTTACGGTGAAGGTGTACAACAACTACACCGGTTAAAATCCTATAACTTCTCGATACACGCAACAACAATAACTTTCATAATTTGAATAGTTTAGAAATGTATTTGGAATACTAAGTTTATGATATAGAAATCATATGAATCTTCTCATTTCGTGGGAATATCCTAAGTCTGGAATCACGGCTTCAATTAATGAATAGTAGAAAATAATTAGATGCACTATCTGGTGTATATAAGATATCTATGGTCGGACTACATATTTGTAATTTATGTTTGACATGAGAGTAATAGAGAATACAGACCACAAATGTGATAAATAGTTTTAATTGTGACATTGGCTTCACTGTAATTTGTTGATCGATGTTCCAACAGTAATACGCGAGAAATTGTTTAAGCTTTGTGAAATATAATACTGATTTTATATTATATGCATGCTTGTGTGAGACACTGCATGTTAGTCTAGATCTGTTTAAATTAATTAGAGTCTAAATATGTTCCACTAGAGATATCCGTGATTGTATATACCGCCTGATACAACCTCGTCCTCAGGGCCTTTGCGCTGACTTCGCGCTGAGAAGGCCCTGGCATCGGCTGTCATTTTACACCCCAAATTTTGGGGTGTGAATAATATTTAAATGCGCGAAATTGATTTGTTCTTTAATTACAATTTCCTATACTTGCTGCTCAAAGATAAGATTAGAAGTTAGGAGTCAATTTGGCAGCTGCTTGAGTAAAATTAAGTTGTTTACAACATGACAACAACATTACAAATATTATGTAAGCTCATCCACTTTTTGTTGTGGAGATTTTGTTTATACCTATCTTTCGAAAGAAAATCTTCTAAGGATTTCAAAAATACATAATGTGTCTCGTGTTAAGATTGAAAATAATTTTTAAATGAAGAAAAGTGAAATTTTTGAATGAAGAAATTAAAGTGAATGGACTTTGCACGTCAGTCAAGACCGATATTAAATATTTAATTTTATCCTGCTGGCAGTGGTTCTTGAGATGAGGAGAAACCACTGCGTGCAAACGAACGATCGTTTCATGTAGCCGCCGTCCAGATTCACGAACGAATACATTAAATTCTCAACCGGTAAAACAAGTTTGAAAAGTTTTTGTTGTTGTGCGCATGGATAAATGCTTCCCACTTCTGGTAAAATGCGAGTCAGTTGTACACTTGAAAAACAATATTCGTACGCTTTAAATATAGTAACACGCTATAAACATACTAGAAGTTATTATCGCAAGGAAAGTGCTGCCTCATCTCACCTTCCAAAAAGCACGTAAAGCACCCCTAAGACACCTGTTCAGGAGGTAGGAGAAGTACAATTTCAATACGAAAACACCTTGCACAAAGTCAAAGGTCAGTTAAGTATTCTTATTCTACTTTCTCGGCATGGACGGTTTTATACCTTCAATGCTTATAATTTCTTGCTTCTGTTTGTTTAATTATAAGTGGTGAAGACTGTTTGTGGTAAAGCTATAGACAATGGAACCAGCTCATGCTATGCAAGTTTTTAATAATTTGCATTGTCCAAAAAAATGCAAGTTTATTAGCATAGCATGACCAGTTGTCATGGCTAGCAGGCCATTGAATACTGTACAATATCATATATACAAACAATAATAATACTTGAATGAATCATTGGATATGTAAATAACAATTTCATACATAGAAATACTACCGGTCAGTTTTTATTCCAATAGGCAATTCCAGCTTTTAGTTTATGCCTGCAGGGGATGATGGGAAATAAGGTATCACATTGCTGATTAGGCTAAAAAATTTTAATAAAAACTACCGACGCAACCAAAATATTTCAATATTTACATGTATAAGCTATCACTCCGTGTTTACACGACCACCATTTTTATTTTTTCAACATAATCAGCAATGTGATACCTTACTTCCCACCATCCCCTGCACGCATAAACTAAAAGTTGGAATTGCCTATTATTGTCTTAATGGCACCTTCAAGGCTACCCCTACCGCAGAACAACTGAACAATCTGCTGATGGGGAGACAAAATCTATTTTGTTGACATTTTTTATTAAGAAGTCAGCTTCAGATGACACCATTTTTTGTGTAAATTATTTAAGATTGTACTCAGTCAGAACTGTAAAACTATACTTTGCTTAACCTAAGGCTTTACCTGTACCTTTACCTTACACGTACATAAAAAAGAGATTCCATAGCCAAAGTGACTTTTTTTCCGGAAGGATGTATAGATAAATTGTAACAAGCCTGTTATTTTTGTATTATAGCAAGGTTTTATACAACATGGTAGCATTAACAAAACAATTGATTATGACTTATGAAGAATTCGTTATGCTGTTAGTGCACTACTTCAAAGATAGTTGTGTCTTACCAATTTGCAACCATTCGTTGTAGCTGTCCTTTACAGGTACCCAGTGATCTCCTGAAAGAGGTCCGCTGTGAGGGGTTTTGTTGTCTTTACATATCGTTTTCGAGGTGCAAAGCTCTTTGCTATCAGCTTGACATTTTGCTAATCCTTGTTGGTAGGAGATTCTATTTGAAGCTCCCTTTATGGTAATCCCATCTTCTAATGGAAGAAAAGTTCTAAGGTCATTTAAAAAAGCAATTTTTGCTGCAACTTTCCACGCTATTTTTAACAGACAGCGTATTTTCTATAAAAGGAGGCCATTTTTCAAACGAAATAAGTTAACCTTTGCAACAAACCGCTTCGTTTTTCAATCCCTCCACGAATCCCACTAGAAGTCTTACCTTTCCTCTTTATTTTGCAGCAATATAAATTTCCTTTGAAATTGTGGACACTATTTCTCAATCCCCAAGAAGGTTTAGAACCTAGTGTACTGTGAAGAACGCATGGTCGGTGTGGAGAATTTCCTAAAAGTGTAAAAACAAAATAACTGATTAAACTATTGAAACCAATGAGATCTGCTTTCCTCAGTTATTCACACTTTTCTTATACTTTGCTTACCGATCTGTATCCATTCATTGGAGCTGTCAGCTACGGGCACCCAGTGGTCACCTGGAATAACTCCACGGTATGGTATTTTACCGTCTTTGCATATTGTTTTGGAACTGCAAAGCTCTTTTTCATCTGATTTGCATTTTGAAGTTGCCTGCTGGTACGAAATTGTTTTTGAAACCAACTTTACTGCAATTGAATATTCAATGACATCTGAAAATAAACATTGAAATTTCAGAATGTGAAGGGGTAAAAATAAGCGACTGTCATTGTATAGTCTCGCTTAGTGACATTGAACGATTTACATTTCTTAACACGTTTCTTGAAAATCATGCCGATATCTAATACGTTCGTTTATCTAAGATTGCATGAGAGTTCAGTTTAGGCCTTCACGATTGTGCTAGTATTGTAAAAGTGGCGTTGTGTTGTCATAGCAACGCTCTTTTTTCAATAAAGGACTCATATTATGCTCATTGTTTTCAAAACTATGCTCCTTTTATTCAAATATTGCTTAGTTCTATTTTGAAGAAACAACAACAAAATAAGGCATGACCGCGGGTGTTTTTGCTGTTTTAACATCACTGTCGAGCTATTTCTGAAGGAACGACGTTTGGTGCTTGACATTTGAAAACACTGATCTGAAAACTAAGACCGGATAGAGCATCTGCTATACAGAGACACATACAAACGCCGATAAAACATAGCCTTCGGGTGGAGGTAAAAATTAGTAAAAACTGCCAAATTATAATTAATTATCAGCGCAAAATATGCTAGCGGAATTCGGAGAGGCCTATTTTAGTCGGTCACCAAACGATCACCAAACTATTCAACTCAAGTTTTATAGCTAATATTCAATATAGTCGAAATTGCGACAGCACTAGCTAAGAACGTATAATTTTACATTCTCCGATATTATTAGTTGTAGGTGTGTACTCATTTTGGTTCTTGTCTAAAAGTACCAGAAAAGTACACACGAGTGACTACGAATGACCACGGTTGATTTCTGTGCATGTTTAAAAATCGTAAAAAAATAATAAAAACTATTTTAAACAATATTCATTAACAAATTATTGAAAAGCGTTGCCCGCGTATTAGATATGGGTCTCTTTACCGACCGGATTAGCCTGTGCGTCAGCATGCCGTCGCGAGGAGTCAGGGGGGGGGGGTTGTTTGGTCATACTTACCTGAAATTATCAAAATTCTAAATTTTACCTGAAAATGTTTTTTATTATTAATTTATTTTATTCCCCAAAAATGTTTGCGACCTCCACCGCCCCCCTCCCCCTCCCCCCGTCGACAAAATATTTCGGACAGTGTACCATTTTTACGGTACAAAAATTTTCCCGGACATATCTTAACTTTTTCCTGAACATCAAAAATTTTTTCCAGAAATATCACAATTTTTTCGAATATTGAAAACATTTTTTTCGGACTTATCATAATTTTTCCGAGAAAACTCAAAATTTTTCCCGACATAATAAATTTTTCCTAACACAACTACCTGAATTTTTCATCCATTCAAAGTCATTTTTTTTTAAATTTAACTCTCTATTGCCCTAAGAATTACCTGAATTTACGGAAATTTACCCGAACATCTTCTTCAAATTTACCTGAATTTACCTGAACATCTACTTGAAATCTACCTCAAATTGCTCATGAACAATTTATCAGGGGCGTTACCTCCCCTCCCCCCGCACCCCCTTTCCCCTCTCACTACGGCTCTGCGTGTCAGGCTCAAAGCTTGAAATAGAGCCTGCAACTAAAGTCAATAAAAATGCGTAAGAAATGTACGCAAAATTCCCATTGGTGAGAAATAAATAGCCTTGTCTTTTAACGTAATATCAAGTTGCTGTTTACGTAATACAATATTCCGTACTTGTAATTGTATTTTTGGCCGCATTAATTACCAGCTCTAATTGCTGTCTATAAACACGGTCAATAAACGTTAATATTATTTAGTATGTGGGGTAACGGCCGGGTATTGGATACGCGTCTCTGGAAAAGAGACCCGTATCCAATACCCGGGCAACGCTTTTCAATAATTTGTAAATAAATAATGTTTAAATTTTTTTTCTTATTATTTTTATGATTTTTAAATACAGTAATTACTCGCGGTTACTCGTGCTCACTCGCGGTCACTCGTGTGTACTTTTAGACAGGTGACCCTCATTTTGATCCAGTCTTGGGAATAAATTAAACTAAATTTTGATCCAGTCAATATATTTCACTAGGTATTCAGTATCACCATCCATGTGACCAAAATAAACCAATAATCCCCGAGCCAACGGCGCTCCGCGCCGTTCCGGGGGTAAGCCCGGGGCGAGGGTACTAATTCGGCCCGGATATTTACACCCGTGGAATGGAACACGCTAGCGATGTCTAAAGTTCATCAAATATCGCTGACGCAAGGTCGTATGGGTGGTCATCTCACTGATCTCAAAATATGGCTGTTTTCCAGGAGTGAAGGAGTCAAAAATATAAAAAACATGTTAGCAAGCTTGGAAAATCGTTTCACATAACAAATTGTATAACTTCTTTTCAATTTTTAAACGTAAACATTAATGATTGATTTAGTATGAGAAATTCTGAAGTATAAGGCAAGTTTGTTCCAATTGTTTATGTATGACTTTGTGTTATTATTTATGCTCCGTTTACGCTACGCTCAATTTTTGGTACCGTACTGATAAAATTGGTACCCGTACCACTTTTTTGGTTTAGGTAGTCCAAGAACCAAAAAGGTGGTACGGTACCAAAAATCGAGCGTAGTGTAAATGGGGCTCAAAATATAGGTAGTCCAAGAACCAAAAAAGTGGTACGGATACCAATTTTATCCGTTTTTGTGTTCAAGTCTTTCCTATGAATGGTATGCAAAAGTTTCTTACTAGTTAAATTAAATTTTGTAATTAACTTTTGGCAATTCACACAACTTATATCATTAGCTATAAACCTGCTACATGTTCGTTTTTTAAATCAGTACTTGAATTAAACTTTGCTAAAACATGACATTTTTAAGCAACTGTTTGCAGGTTAACAAATACTTTTTACAAATATATTTTTGGTAAAAATAATGCCGAAGATGAAATCATGGGCAGATATCAGAATAATTTTTTGACAAAACTGATTTAAAAGCAAACACTCTTTATAGAAGTAAAAAAGTAATGTCAAGAAGCACCTGTCTTGTCTAAAAAATATTAAACATGGTAGTTTTTCATTGTGTTTTTATTGCCGTTAAAGCTATAAGAACGAATAATTTTTTGTTTTCTCCTCTTGGGCCGCCATCATGTTTTCTTCACAACCAGGATATGAGCTAATATCCTAGCCTACTAGTAGAGAGCGAATCAGATTGCAGAATAGCTTATATCCCGTAGCTGTTTATAATTATAATAACATATATTTTCCATGAATTAATGGAAAATATATTACTGAAAAAAAGTAAATAGCAAAAGTTACCTGAAGACTAATTTTCACTCCGGAAAATAAGCAGCAGATCGGACTGGATCGGAACAAAACAAAATCCGCTCCTGCGCCATCAGTAGAAAATTTGGTTCCTATTGATCCGGGGACGTTGCTGGCCAGATAATAAAGAGTTAAAATATTTTCAACTTTTTTTTGTTCGGTGCGGCGGATTAAACCTGGCGAACAATCAAAATGCCGTATTAAATAATACCTGTATAAAATTTACAAAAAGGAGGATAATTCAAGAGCTTTCTTGGAGAATTTACAAGAACTGGAGAGTACAACATCTACTTTGGGACAGCAATCTTTGGCACATCGTATAGCTTTAACTCTTCCGTCATTAAGTGGAATATTCACTTTTCCGAAAAAATTTTCTTATCAAATGCTCTTTTTGTATTTTTCTTATGTTCTTCTCCTTCCAGCGAAGGAAAAGCAAGGACGTAACAAGACAAAGTATACGCTTGTTCAGAGCCGCTGCTATTTTGTAATAAGTACATTGGTAATTTCTGACACTGGGACGAACTCCATTTTTTCCTTTACCGATCAGATCATTCCACATGTCCCTTTATTGGATATCGCCTCCGATCCGGTCCGATCTGCTTCTTATTTTCCGGAATGGAAATTAGCCTTGAAGTGTGATGTTGTATAAAAAGCCGTCCGTGTTTGCAATATCACGCTTCATGCTTGTATTCTGCTGCACTTTTCAGAATCATAAACACAATGAACACAGTACTCGGTACAGAACTTGAACAATACATCTGTAATACTTGCGTGCAAGTTCAAAAGAACTGGAAATATATATATGTTATTTACCGGCTGCGAGGTCCGGAGGAGAAAAACTGTGCCCGAGGTCTTGAAAACGGCCCGAGCCCGAAGGGCGAGGGACGTTTTCAAGACCGAGGGCACAGTTTTTCTCATCAGGACCGACGCTGCCGGTAAATAACGTGTTTATTTTTTATCAGATGTAAAAATTAAAATTCCAGTGTTGCTTGCGAACTAATTTGAGATCAGTGTAGTTGTGTATTTTCAAAGCGGGGCTGACAAATTAAAATTGAAAAGTTGAAAGATATAAAAACACGAATACGAAAACTCGAGAAAACTGGCAAGAAACACACAAAAAGACGTATATTTCAGCAAAAATGTACATGCTTTTTTCATAAATCTGATAGCAGAGAAGCTTTGGAATAAAAACTTTTATGCCCGGCGTTTTGGCTTTGGCTTTGACAAAGTCAGTTGCTCCGGAGTCCTAACAACGACAGGTTTATGTTCAGTACCGATCAAAAACATATAAAAATGAATCTGTTTTGATTTAATCATCGTTTTTCTACTAAAAGGACAATGAGAAAGGTATGTTGTTTTTATAGTTTTGTATTTTTTACTTCTCGTCTCAGGATAATATGCTTGAAAAAAGTGTTTTTTAACACAAACTTTTACTTTGTTTACAATATTTATATCAGTGAAAAATGCATGACACAAATGGGTAGAGAATATATTCGTGACTTGTTTTTACTGCTGCAGTTAAACCTTCTTTTAAATGGGAAAACTTTTATTTTACAATTTCTGTTTAAGCTGTAATTTTTTCGCTTTTAAGTGGCCGAATACATGAGTATTTAAAAACAGATATGTAGTTTTCTCGACGTAAGTTTTATTCATGTCAAATAATTATAAACTTTCCGACTTTCAGTCACATTTCCTCGCACATTTCTATCAAAATATTGACAATTCTGGTGAACATCGTGCTTAGTATGAAGTCTTTCGGGCTTGATGCAATTCATTTTCGTATTCTGACTATCGTTAGGCCAGGTTAGGCTATGTTTTTCAAACGTTTTTGGCTGATTTTTTCGTTTAAAAATTGTTCACACTCCTCGGTTTTTGGCGCGAAATCCAGAGCGGGCAGTTGCATTTCACAGCGGGCAGTTGCGTTTCAGAGTGGGCCGGATGCAAGAAACCGGCCCGCTCTGAAAGGCTCTCAGCCAATCAGATTGCTTCATTTTCCCTGATAAAAAATAAATATTTGTTATACCTCTGCAGACCACGGCAGTCGTACAGCGGAAGATTCCCATCAGCAGAAATCCATAGGTCCAGAGGATGTCCATCTTCTATTGCAACACCAAAATTCCTTAAAGTGAGGGTATTGAGAAGAACATCAAATTACTTTTACATAAACTATGTTAATAATATACAGTTTTTGGGATGACTAGATTTTCCAACTACAACGCAGTAAAATAGAATTGAAAATGATGGTTTTTAACATTAAAGGCAGCTGAAACAGAAATTGGTTTAGGACAAATAGACGACCTAACCCGAATAATTTACATGAAGGATATAGTCAATCATCAGTGGTGATCTTTAAGTTTTAACGCTGCGGGCTCTTCAAACGAGGCCTTGGGGGAATGAACCACCAGAAATTTTGATTTTTTGTCTCCGTCACACAGGAAATATAGCATTAGCCCGACGGCCATCCTGAGTAATGGGAGGATTTAAAATTACAGGTCTGACCTTCAAAAAATTGAATTCAAATAAATTGAAATAACGATATTTTAATTGTACAATAAAGTAGAATATATTGTTTTATAATGAAATCTTATTTCTGTCTTAATAAAAGTCTCAAGAAGGATCAGTTTACCAAAATGAAATTTTAAGAAGAAAGCTAGCCCCACTCTGAGCCCTTCACCACTACACTCCAAACGATAATCTACTCCAAATTGATACCGGATGTCATGCACACATGTCAATTAGTTGCCATTCCTGGAGCTTCGTTTCAAAATTACATCTTCAGTGATTTTCAGAATGTAGGTTTTAATTTTAGATTAGTATGTGCGGAAACAGTGTGGCAAGCAAGTGAGATTAAGAATATATCTACCATTATGTGCGTATTGTCTGGAATGGTAAAGGAAGCAAGAATTAACACATTAACAAATATGTTGGGCTATTGATATTTGTCAGAGCATGTTAAATGAACTGATTAATATTGATCACTATTTGGATTTTGCTTGTCTGGATCGAATGTTTGAACTTGCTTAGGCGTATCATGCAATCGTATATTTAGATAACATTCTAAATTAAATAATTAATAGCTAGAATGCAAGCTTGATATATTTATACTTTACTGCTTTGGGAAAAGAACTTCCTAAGCAAACAAAAATGTATGTCTTTATAGACATACAAGTCATTGTCAATTGCCCAGCCCATTTCCCTATTAATTTTCATTTTTCAGATAAGAGATTTGGATTTGGAAAGGTGCCAGTCGCTACGAAAATTAGGGGTTATGGGATTCACACGTATATCGTAGCCTATCATTGAGCTTCCGGGGTTAATTTTCTGCATTCTCAAACACTATTTCTGCATTCTCAAACACTATGGTTATTAATAAATGAGCCTTCCCTTTTCCTCCTTGTACTTTAAAACAAAAAAACTTTCCTGGAGGGGCCAATATATATCCGTTCAGGATTTGAATGGAATCTTTATACTTATTTTTTACCCTGCTCGGTTTCCTTTGTTCTTATCGAGGAATATATTCAATATTCCCTTCTAATCAATTTCCGTTTAATAATCCCTTCTAATATTCACATGTAATTAATAATCCCCTCTAATATTCACTTGCAATGTCTTTGCAGCACAAAAAATGAGAAAAAACAACATAACGAAGGCAATATGGCATTAAGAATTATTTCTATTCTGAATCATTAACGCGACCTCGCAATGTGAAAAATAAGTACGTTATTTTGAGGCACCTCGGGGATATGTGTTTATTCACCTCGGCGCTGCGCGCCTTGATGAATAAATTACATATCCCCTCGTTGCCTCAAAATAACCTATACATAATTTGATGCAGAATCGAATGGTGTTTTGGGAATTTTCATCTATCGTGCACACAAATTTAATATGTGCTCACTATACGAAAGTAAATTTGTCTGCCAGAGACAACAAGTGTCGATCGATGAATGCATACAACCAGAAAATACATGCATGCAGAAAACCCTCGCCTTGCTTAGAAAACCGTTGTATTTAAGAACATGAAGTATTTAAAGTAGTTGTCATGGTAACACGAGATTTTGTTAAAAGAATATTTTTACAAATGAAAAATCCCCCCAAAATACACTTTTAATTACGAAATTATCAATTGCCCAAACATCTATATGTTAGGTATGTTATTATGCGCAATATAAGCTTCAATTTAAGGTAAGATTGAACCTCACACGCTTCGCAAGACGTTTTAAACCAATGTTCTTTATCAAGTTAAACTACCTTTATAGAAAACTTTGAGTTTGAAATAAAATGATTTCAAATTCTCGAATTCAAACAACTTTACTTTCTTTTGTATTGAAATTTTTAATATAATAAAAAAGGGTAATCAATAAAGAAACACCGAAATTTATATGCTGTCTTTTTTATTTTTAAATATGCGCAACGACAAGCTTTTAAATTAAAGCAATTATAAAGTGAACAATAGATCAATTGATTTAAAACAAACCTACCTTCGTTAACGTCGGCGCCTTCACTCCCTTCTTTAACCAATTCTTTCACCTTTATTTTCTTAAAAACTTTTGAAAATCACAAAATCTTGCAGCAATCAATACATTTGCAAGAAATCATCAAAATAATCAAGAAATGTTTGCTATTTCGCAGCCGTCGTGCAGTTGTTATAATGCAAATTTTAAATTGGACCAATCAACGTTTGCTATGCATGACAGTCCGCCATATTTTTGAGATCAGTGAGGATATCCACCCACTTCAGACTTCGCTAATGCTTTCGTTTCACAAATTGGCACCCTCGCCCCGGGTTACGCCCGGAACGGCGCTCCGCGCCGTTAGCTCGTGGATTATTCAAATCACTATGCGATACGCGACATGTAATGAGCCAATTGCGGAATTGCTAAGCACCAGGTAGTTTAGTTACACAGCAGAATTTTTCAAAATGGCGCTTATACTTTTCGAACGAGGGAAGGCGCTAAACACATGAGAAATATTTGCTGTGTTGGTGTAGTGTATTCAGGTGAATAAGATGCTTGTGATGTTACTCTGAGAGTATATCCGCATCGGGCAGACTTGACAAATAGGCCTGGCCACGGTGGAAATCGAACCTACGACCTGGGCTGGTATTCCAAAGGTCGTAGGTTTGATTCCCACCGTGACCAGGCATAATTTTCAAGCCTGCCCGATGTGGATATACACTTGGACTAACATCACAAGCATCACATGAGAATTTCAAAAAAACTTTCATGATTTTCGCTTTGATTAAAGTTTTTACTAAATCTGTACGACTTTTTTCATATTTCTACTGCAACATGGCGTACAAAGTCACTGAAGCGTAGTAGCATGGATTGTAAAATAACTGGATAGGAAACTTCCTGACGTCACAGTCTAAACCTATAGTTGCAATCTGTGACATCACGTCATAAGAGTAGTTTAATTGGCGATCATCTTAACCTAAATACTAATGTTTAGAAATATTTTACTCGTATTTTTGAAATAATTTTGTATATGCATGTAATATTCTAGAATCAGTTGTAGTTTTTAACAAGTAGTTGAACTAAATTGTAAACATATTATAATTTAGCGTATCCGCTGTTGAAATGAGGGAAATAAAGCCATTATTATTATGCCAAAGTTCTCCTCATTTTTGTTGTTTCGCTATATTTTCCGCTTTAAAAGAGTAATATTGAAGCATAAACTGGTCTAATTGTTTTAAAAACATACCTAAGCAACGACAAAGTATTCAGGGGAAATGCTTTGCGTTTTTGTTTTGTATTTTTTTTACATTTGTAGCTACGAAATTGGCGTTGCCCATTTTAACGAAATTTGCGATGCACTTTTCACTGTTTAGTGCTTGAAATATTTGCTAAAATTGACCGGGAAGACTTAGAGATTTCATTGTAGAATGGCCTAGTTATATTTATTTGCTCCTTGACTAAAATGTTTAGCTGTATTATCGCTAAGCATGCCGTTTTTGAGAATTTGGTTTGCAACTAGGTTTCAACGCCATCATCCCATTAGTTTCCTATCGATGTTTTTTATTATCCATGGTAGTAGTCATGCAGGAACAAATTTTTGAATATTTCACAACATGAAGGTGCATGAGTACTGCATTAAATTATTTTCGAGGTAAGGAACACGTTGTAACCTGTTATTTGCCTGAAAAGTTTAACGATCGGTTTAATTCTAGCGACTTGAGAGACAAAAATGTTTGCACATTTGACCGTCCCAAAACAACAGGTGTTTGATCATCTTTCGTTTAGCAACCACAAAACATTAAATGAGAGGTTGTTTGGCGCAAAAAATCAAAACAGTTACTATTTGAAATACCGAGTTTCACGTTTCAAAGGTTCTCAAGTGTCTTATTGGAGTTTTTTAAATACAATATATTTACGCGACTCAAATTTAAAGCAACCTCGCTTGTTTCGAGTATATTTTGGAAAGTTTCTAGCCGTCTGGTTTGCTGTTTGTAAATATGGAGTAAGGAATACAGTGGACAAGAAATCTCAGTGGTATTTACCCATGCATGCATTATTGAAGGAACATTTGCCGGATAATTGACTACTCCAGTAAACTTGGACCATGCAAAGGCTCACAAGCATAAAGATATGGCTATCAACTGTTCAAAGATAAAATGGATACCCAGGTTGTAGTCAAGGATAATGTTTTGAAAGGCACAGAAAGGTCTTTCCTGTTGTGCATGCCTCCATGAAAAAGGCACACTATGGAGTCTATGTTCTGCACCTAGGTCTAGGACACTGGTTAAATATCTTGTGCGGGTTGCACTTGTAAAGGCGGTTGTTGTAAACATGTAGCTGCCCTGCTATTTCAAATTTTGAACTATATTCAACTTGAATTATTAAACTGAAAATGATTTAACATGTTCACCGACAGTTACTGAACTTACTAATGAGAAACTTGATACTGCAGTGCGTTTCGACCAAGTAAAAATAAGCAAGGCAACTTTCAAGACAGAAAAAACATTGCACAGCAAACTACAACAACCCAGCGCCTGCTTTTGCTAAACATGTAATTGTTCAAGACTTGAGAAAACTTGAAGACCGGTTTGAAAAGTCCTGGCACTTGTGAGTATTTGCAGGACCTTTTAGTGTCCAATAATTGTGAACCTTTCCAATATCAAGAATTTGTTGAGCAATTGCCTTCAAAAAAGGCATTCAGTGATGCAAACCTATTTGCAAATCAAATGTACAATATCAAAATTCGAACATCTA